AGGGTTGGGTTCACGTGAGACCAGCCTGTTTTCGTGAGACCCGTGAGACCAGCATTTTACACGTAAACTTCACAGCAAAAACACTGTGAAGGTTTAAAAAAAGTCGAACCTTCACAGCAAAAACACTGTGAAGGTTTTAAAAAGTCACCTTCACAGCATTTTTGCTGTGAAGTTTACGTGTAAAATGCTGGTCTTACGGGTCTCACGAAAACAAGCTGGTCTCACATGATCCCAAGTCTATATATATAACCAGCTTGTTTTCGTGAGACCCGTGAGACCAGCATTTTACACGTAAACTTCACAGCAAAAATGCTGTGAAGGTGACTTTTTAAAACCTTCACAGTGTTTTTGCTGTGAAGGTTCGACTTTTTTTAAACCTTCACATTGTTTTTGCTGTGAAGGTTCGACTTTTTTTAAACCTTCACAGTGTTTTTGCTGTGAAGTTTACGTGTAAAAACGTGGTCTCACGGGTCTCACGAAAACAGACTGGTCTCACGTGAACCCAACCCTATATATATATATATATATATATATATGTTAATTCTTAGAGATGGACGTTTCTTTTATAATTATATATACTACATTATAATAACGTTATATTGGTAGAAGTTTCATTCTGGATATATATGTTATGTTTTTTAGTTTAAAACCAATAAGAGGTCCAAACCGTTTTTTTTTATGGTTCGGTTTTACTACTTTGGTCAATTGCTGACAAAATGTTTGGTTTAGAAAATTTCTAAACCGCCATTGTGGTTTGAGGGATTAAACAATATAAACAAATCGTAAAAACCTTCAATAATTTATTTTATCTTTAAAGCGTATAACAATGAACTTAAAAAGAAAATAGAAAGTGTTTTGTATAATATTTTTACAGGAAAGACCCTATTTGGCGGTTGCTAAATGATTTGGTGTAAAATGATTAAGTGGTAAAAATGATTAAGAGTCTATTATGATATAATACAAAGTGAAATATAATTGTTTAAAATAAAATTAAGGCACCAAACGATTAAGAGAGGACCAAGATAAGGTCTTAGAACCATTAAAGGTTTATTTGTTTACCTCTTAATAGTTTCATTAAAAGACAAAATCTGAATCGCTAAAAGGTGAATCGTGTTTGACAAAAAAAGTCTGCTTTTAATGATTTTAAAACTCTTTGAATAATTTTACATCTTAATTTTATTTTAAATAATTATATTTTATTTTATAATATATCATAAAAATATCTTAATATTTTAACCATTTAATTATTCTGCATCAAACCATTCTGAATGTTAAAAAAAAAAGAAAAAAGAAAAAAAAAGCAGTCCGAAGTTAGCCGGGAGATGAAACGATGGAAAAGACAAAGACGTGAAAAGCAAAGCATAGAATTAGATGAGTTACCTTTGATTGCCATTTGCCTTTGGACTTTTTTTCTTTCAGACCAGGAGCAGATAGCATAGCAGGCAACTGCTGCTTTGATTCATTACTGTTCTTCATAGCTTCATCTTCTCCATATCTAAAGGACATTGAAAGCCTGTTGCTTCTTCTCTGCACGCTTCTTTTCGGATTCTTCTTCCACATCTGGGCTGGGTTGGTGTTATGTTCTTCTTATTTTACGATTCATCATTTTGAAAATTGCATAATTTTTTACACAAGTTCTCCATTTCATTTGCAGTCCATCGAAGTAATCGAATTGATAGGCAACTATATGGAGGTATACATGTATATATATATTTGCTCATCTTCAACCCTAAGTTTGTGTCTAGATATTCATCTCTTGTATCTGATTCTGTTTCTCTACTTGTACTCGAATTCAATTTTCTGGTATCGGGTTTTAGATGCATCACATAAACTACTTGCCCCCGTTTTTAGGGATTAAAACTTTATCTGTTAATGTTGGAATATTTCATGTATTTATTGTGTCAGGGCTATCTTTCTTACAACGTCCCAGGTAGCTTTAATACACTGATAATCTAACTATCGTATCTGATTGAGTGACGTGAATAGCTTCTACATCACCATAAGCCGCTTCAACTTTTCTCGAGAGCTTGTGTGCCATACGTTCCTTTTTATTCTCCTCCTCTTTATGGGAGCCATTATTTTTGTTTAGCTTAAAAGATGCTTGCTGGTCGAACTGGAATCAACCAACTCTTGCCATTTTTGTTTTAGCAAAAACAATGTTCCATACGCACCTTTTTCCTCCTTTTATGTAGTGGTAGGGAGCCATTTTTTGTTTGGCCTAAAAGATGCTTGCTGATTGCATTGGAGTCAATGAACTCTTGCCTTTTTTGTTTTAGCAGAAAGCATGTAACTACATTAGACAGACAGTGCCATTGTGTGCTTACACGGCCTTTTGATTTCTAGAAACTGCTTGTTCTGTACATATTTTTGTCATAATCTTCCTACTAGGAAAACTAAGATGCGGACACTGTTCAGTTTCTCCCTTTCCGTTTCAACTCAGCTTTGGTGATGGTTTTCGCTGCATTTTTGTTGTTATTGAAGCTTTTCTAGCCTTCTACGTTTATTAGTTCTTTTATTGATGATTGATGCTTTGTATTTCCGAGCTTTTTTGTAGCTTTTCTTTTTTATTCTTTTTGTAAGCAGGTTTTTTTCTGTTCCACTTGTTGTACCTAGCTTCATGTCTATGGATAAACTTAGTACCGATTATAATTAAGATCAGCATAGACCTTATAGGGCCTTGTTTCATGGTTGTTTGCTTTGTATAAGAACTAAGAGTTAGGTTGAAAATAAAATTATCCCTCTCATTGTTGCTTAATATGTATGTGGTAGTCATGAAATGTTATCTAAAATTTATGATGAGGTGTGGGTCCATTCACATGGAGGTTTAGTGATGTAATACAAAGAGCAACATCGAGAGGGAAGGGTTTGGAAGAAAAAGGCAAGCCAAAGAATTTCACACAAACTCAAAATCATTGGATATGTTTCCAGTATGGAATTGTATCCCTGTGTATGCTACTACAAATGAAGTTAATGACATTGATGATGCTACTAGTTATCCCAACAACGAAGCTAGCAATTGTCACAGTTATTCTCTGTCATCTTGATGAATGAGTAAAATCAACCACAAATGTTTTCCCTCTATCCTGAAATAAATATAGCTGCTCTATTTTTAGGTTATCCCAAATTAATTGCAACATTTATTATCAACTCATTGGTATCCAATTGGTCATTTCATTCCCATCAACCCTATTGGTTGGAGGGACAAGTGTCATGGGAGAATTTTCAGGGTGTGTGTCTTAACCGTTTCAAGGAGTTTTTGTGCAACATTTCTCTTTTTAAAGCCAAATACATCTAGTTACTCGTTCATTATTTCAACAGCTTCATCGCATTGGTTTCAGTCCCTGTATTTTGTTATTATATACGGTCGTGGTAATAGTTAAAACACAGTTATTAAACTAAACTTCTGGTTAGATGATGCATTTATTTTTGGGATGGTCAGAATAATAAATATTGTTCAAATAATAATTTCTTAGAATTCATATGAATGTCAATTCACCTCACTAGAACCCTATCCTTGAGCTTTATAGAGCAAGAAGAAACTAGAAATTTGATGTATCACTCTAATCTTGACTTTTCATGATGTAAGTTATCGGGCTGGCTTCACTAACTCGTAAACGATTGAAAAACACAATGTTTTGTTAACTGATATAAATATCAGCTAGTCCGCCATTTTTATTTTTGACAGAAAAATGCTTGGTTTTTGTGAGTTTTCAGATTTTCAATGGTATATTCTGTGCACTTATCTTTTTGCTTGTCACTTGTCATATTAAATCTAGCATTTTCCTTTTCACGAGTAAATTTTGAGTTTGGTGGTGTCAGCCACAAGAGATATGGTTATCATTTATTGTTCCATGAAAGATACGTCTCATACGCAATCTTCATTCTTGTGACAATGCACCGTCTTCTAACTTCCTTTTATCATTATATGTATCATACATGATCTTGTTGATGCATAAATTCTATCTCCTCAACAATTTAGACTAGGCTTGACAGGACTCTGAATATCTCGAATCATTGCTAATTACTCTTGCTAAATTCCACAAGCCTGTGGTGCTCTTTGCTTAGCCTAAAGTCATATATACAATACAGGAACTATTCTTGCATCATATGAGACATCCTGTTCAAGATGTGTTGGGTCACTTCTATATGCTGCCTATGCCATTAAACCTGTTACATCACTTTTGTAAGGTCAAGTCATGATGCTCGATTCTTACCTAACAAGTCATAATCTAATTAATTTGATCTCACCATTAGGATGCTGTATATTCTCTATTATCTCCAATTGTTCTTCAACTTAAGCTCTGGTGACATCTCTAATCCTTTTATAATTTGCATCAACACTTATGCTTATCATCTGGGAGACTGCGACTGGACTTTGCATTTTTAACTTTCTCTGAACATAACTTATATATATATATTTGTATGTATATATCCACTATACTAAATTGATCACCTAATAACAAATGTATGCACACAGAGAGAGTTATGAATACAGGTTATCACAACAGTAGAAACTTCTTTTCAACAAATTCATTGATAATACATCAACAAAATTGTATGAGAATGATGTTTTGAGTGAGCAAGGGTTTACAGTGAACAGAAAAGCCGTTGGGAGTAGCCATGATGCCATTATGATGTAGATCAAATAACAAGAAGAATAGAGGAAGGGACGTTCCATGGCAACAATAAGCAATCTCCCTGTCATGCACCGTTCGTAAACTCTGTCTGTATTGCATTATTTTCTAATATTGAACAATTTAAAAGCTAATAATTATGGTAACAACAACGTTAATGATAACACTGTTGATTAACTTAATAATAATCATCATGCTGATACTAGCCTTTATAATAACGGTCCTAAGTCTACTTTGTATCTGATTGTATAAATAAATCAAATATATATATATATATATATATAGATATATGTGATTACTATTTTTAACATATTAATTTTCTTAGAATTCTGGTTAATGCCCTTGTCTCCATCCCAAAGAGGAGAAAGGAGATGCGAAGAATGAGTTGTTTCAAAGAACATGATGTGACTCAGTCTACTTTCAAAGTGGAATTACATCTTTATATATCAGTTGAAAAAATGATACTGCTGATAACTATCCTCACAATAAAAAAGCCAGTATATACATATATTTGCATGTGTGTTGGGTGGGGGGATTAATTTACTAGATCCATGTTAAAGACATCCATCACCGTTGATTCTCTCTCAACTTTTGGTGCTAACCTTAACAAATGTGCTCTAAATATGCATTAATTCCATCCTTTATCACAGTTGATTTCTTTGCTTTAAATGCCAATCATATACGATATGCAATAAGGGCAAATTGCATAAATTAGCAACTTACTTTTCCTCCATTCCCACTTTAGGCACTTTCAGGGCAAATTGCATAAAATTTCAACTTGCAATAAGGGTAAATTGCATAAAATAGCCACCTACTTTTGATTTCTTCTATCTTACTCAACCAATTACTGAAAATAGCAACCTACTTCTATTTTTTTTACGGGGAATCGAAGCTTAATTCCATTATATTGCTTAAAATTGAAGAAATTAAAAGTCAATTGCCTAAAGTGGAATTGAGGAAATGTAAGTTGCTAATATATGCATGCGATTTGACCTTGCAATATACACTACAGTAGAAAAAATGCGATCTCTTGAGAATAATTGGAATTATTTCCTTAAGATATTTAGAGCTGTCTATTTAATGTCATATTGCTTTGACATCTAAAACTTAGTATTAAAACAAAAAAGTCCAACACACATCATTGATTAAAAAAATACATAGTTTTTTTTAGAAACATATTAATTTGTGGCATGAGTACCGAAAATTATATCAAGTTTTTAATTTTCATTCTACTTTTATTTCTTTTAGTGAAGCTATTACTATTACTAACTTTTGTTGTAATACATTACACAAAAGTATTTTATATATCACGATGACATAGAAAAAATCAATCATGAGTTAGTTTTTGTAAACAAGACGGGGCGTATAAGGTATCTTTAATCATTTTGATATTTCAAATAAATTATCATATTCATTTGTCAGAAAAAGGAACAACACAATCACACTAGTTGTTATATATTCTAATGATCCTATTTATTGGGTTTTTCAATTAAACAAAAATAAAGTACAATTGGCAACATGGTCGAATTAGTCCAAATTTGCAATATAATTGATGTTAGTTTATTGATTATCTGTTTGATATTGGAATTATAAACAATGACTTTCTTCAACATTAGTTTATTTTGTAAGTTATACGGCTTGATAATTTGATTTACAATTTATGTTTCACTTTGTCGGCTTGCATTAATTCCAAAATAGTTGGAAATTCTTTTTATAATATTTGTGCCCAAGTACTCAAAGTGTAAATAACCAGTTTCTATCTAATTGGCAAGCTAACTTGCTTTGTCATGTCTATTTTCCCCAAACATTGGTTCATTTAGCTTATCTCTTTCTACTAATAAAACATCTTATTTAATTTAATTTTGATTATTGGTAATGTCACGAGTCCCAGAGCTCGCTGCGGTAAGCAAGAATTAATTGCCTTTAATACATGCTTAGATGTTTGGGAGCCTTCAAACAGTGATATATGTTATCTTCATATTTGTTGAAGTGTTAATATTCTCTGTTACAGTTGTGAATAGTTGTCTGGGCCAAGCGAATGTTGTGGCATATGATATATGTTCTGTAATAAATTGACCAATTTGGTTTGAGTAATCTGATCTCTTTAAATTTGTGACAAGAAGGTGGAGGGATTATTTCTCTCAGCAATGTACTTGTCTTTAAATTTATTAGGTTCAATTCTTTATCTTTGCACTTCAATTTCCTCCTTGTCAGGAATACATGCTGATTGAGTTTTTAACTTTATGGGAATTTTTATGTTAATTCTTTGTACATTCATTTTCATTTAGGTGAATGACCTGTATATCAAGTGAAGGCTGCGTATAGTTCAAATCTAGTTTGCAATAACATATTATGCATTGATCAGCCATTTAGTGGTGTCAGTATTATGGATGTGGTCAATGGAGCTAACGGTATCAACAACACCCCTAGTCTAGCTTCTAAACAACGACTCCGTTGGACGCATGAGCTTCATGAACGATTTGTTGATGCTGTGGCACAACTGGGTGGCCCAGATCGTGAGTAACCTTGATGTTCATTTAACTTTAGGTTTACTCATTGCATTTGTTTCTTTAATTTTCTTTCATGAATAAGCATGATAAATTGAAAACTTTCTACCTTTCTTTGTCTAACATATTGTTGCAGTCTTCATAACCGCTGAGCTATTCCTGTAACAAGAACACTTTATGTACACCAACATATGTTCCTGTACAAGTGGAAGCATTATAGTATTCATGTTCTTATGCACATGATAACTTTTCAACTTGACATATTTATGCATCACATTAAGGATTGCTAATAGGATAGGTAAATGCTATGAATATACCGTATGTGCCTATGTGGAATTCTTTCTTGTTGTTGGTCTTTGGGATTTCTCATCACGGACATCCAAGAACAATTCCATTTGGGAGAAATAGAAGTTATTATATGTTGCTGTTTGCCAAATTGTTCACAGTTAACTTTACAGTTCTATCTAACGTCTGCTTTCAAATTTTAAAAAAGCAAACCATTTGAAGATTAAGCCAAGTATCTGTACGATATAGGTAAGTTAATGTAATAAACTGGAAATTCATGATACCCTTGTAAAGGTGCATCAAGGTACCAACTAATTAAGTAACGGGAAACTGTCTGAACTCTATACAGTAACTGGATCTGTTTGAAGGACTAATCCTATTATGTGGACAGAAGCAATACTAAGGTTTAGCACAAGATTAACATAGAAGGGCTGTAAAACTGTGAAAAGGTTTTATTTTTCCCTCCGCCTCGGGGTGTCTCGAGATACTTTCTACAGCTTGATCCGCAGCAGTACCTTGATCAACTCCAGGTCCAATAGAAGCAAGCCCTACAGCCAATCCAGCATGACATTCCTAGGAAGCTTTATCTACATGTTGGAAACAAGAACAAAGGTCCTTTTCTGAGTTGATGATAGAAGACTCAATAAGCACAAGGAAAATTATGTTGTGATGAGCGATCCATGGAACCCTATTATGTAGGAGTGGAGGTCAAATAACGTCAGCAGAAACCTAATAACCTAGGGTTCTGAAACAATGTAAAAGTTTGATAATGGGTTTAATTTTTTATGCTGCAAGATGTCGAACTTGTAAAATGGAACATTGTTCAAGTTCAGATCAAGCTTAAATCTGAGCCAGTAGCAAGCCAGAATGAGCTTGAACTCTGGCCAGCAGCAAGCCTAAATGAGTTCAAATTCCGGCCGCCAAAAACAGGAAGAGAAAAATTGATTTTGAGAAAGCGAAAAATCAAGTTTCTAGTTGTTTAACAGGAAAACTAAAGATCAGGGTGAATCATTGGAGAAGAGAGCAAGGCCACTTTAGATGTTGGTTCAATTTTGGAGCAAAAAATAATTTCCAATTTATAAAACGGAAAGGATGTTGCCTTTTAACGAGCAAAATCCAAGATAGTTTTGATTTAATATTTGACTTTCCAAGCCTGTCATCTCTTTTGTAAGAACTTCGATGATATATAACCCTGCTTTAGTTTTATTTATTTTCTTCTGTAAATTGGAACAACCCTCTGTGGCTCTTCCCACAGCACAAGTACACACATACACACATATATGCATAAATAATACACACACACATATTCGCAACATTTTCTTTTTGAGAAGTCTTGCAAGACATACAATGTTTATGTTTTTAAAAATCCGTCCAAGTTAAGCATTAGAAAGGTAGTTATTTTTCATTTTGGTAATTTGGTCCACAAGATCTCTTATGTTGAACGTGCAAAGATATTTTTAGCATCGATGTTAATAGTAAACAACTTATTTTAACATCTGTTTTGAGTCAAGCACTGCAATTCTTGCATGTAGGGACTGAATCTTTGTATGTCTCTCAATACTTACGTATTTATATTTGAAATAAAGCTACAAATGAGCTTAATTCGAGCTTACTTGAGCTCGAGTCTAATCAAACGTATTTACTTGCGAAGCATGGGTCACATGGAATCAAGCTCGAGTGTGGACTCTAGCTGGTCATCATGCTCGAGCTTGACGTGAGTATGCAAGTCTGCAAAATTCGACTCGAGCTAGCTTTGTTTACATTACAGCAATGCTTGTTATATGCGAAGAAGGCTCCTTAATGCTGCAATTGTAATAAGAAACAAACACCAACATATCCTTGTTATCATCACCCTCCCTACCACTTTCTTCTAATGTTGGTATTTGAAAGTAAGCAAAAATCATCTTCTTTACAAGCAGAAACACCAGGAAAGAAACCTCACTCTTTAAGGAATTGGTTTGCAGTAGAATAGAGTCGTTCTTTCCACTAGAATTTGGTAATTCCATGATTGACTTGTGAGAGCTGCATTATTACAGGGGCTACTCCAAAAGGCGTGCTCAGAGTCATGGGTGTTCAAGGTCTAACAATTTATCATGTGAAGAGCCATTTGCAGGTAGATGACATATTATTTTGTACCATTGCAGAGTGTTCTTTGGACAGGCTATTACCTTGTTGACTTATCCATGACTATTATTTATGCAGAAATATCGGCTGGCAAAGTACCTCCCAGATTCCTCTTCTGAAGGTATATGCTTTAATGGTACTGAAAATAGCCGATTTCGATCTTCATAAGATAATTAAAACATAATATTCTAAAGACGATTAGTATCATAGTAGATACTCTGCATGCATGCATGCAATTCAAAAGAAAATTAATAAGAAGTGTGCTGATTATTTTGCTCAAATTGCTAATGCAAGGAAAAGCGTTCGACCAGAAAGAATCGGGTGACATGCTTTCCAGTTTGGATGGTTCATCGTAAGACTATTTTGTCATCCCTTGGTTTTTAATTCTAGGATGTTGAAGTGCTATGAGCATTTGTAGGTTAGAAAGTTCATATTTATGGTTTTGATTACTTAATGGGCCTAGATTGTATATATTATTTTTCTTTTCTGCAGTGGAATGCAGATTACAGAAGCTTTAAAGCTGCAGATGGAGGTGCAAAAGCGACTGCATGAGCAATTGGAGGTGTTATTTCTTCTAATCTTTGTCATTCATTATATCCCATGTTATTTATGGTTCCTTTGCTTGTCTCTACCAACAAATGTTATTTAATATGAAGCAAAAAGAAAAAAGAAGCTGATCGTGCATTAGAACTTTGGAATTCCATTATATTGTCATTAAAAATACTACTTCCCTTGCAGAACATTACCATCTTTGTATAAGAGAAGAAGCTTCACTTGTCTTATCATTTGGGTTGATTTGTGGTCTCTATCTTCATGTTGCAACCACAAGTGCCATAGCCCAACCATATAGAATCGTAGTTCCCCAACAAAATAAACCAAACTATATCCCAAATGAGCGTGGTATATCCCACCCAGAGGAGGGTTGGGGGTAAGATGTATGCATACTTGACCGCTACCCAAGCGTAAAGCAGCAGCCGTGAAGACCCTCGACTTGTGAAAGGTGTGTGAATGAGAGAATGCTAGACCAAAAAGTTTGAGGGGATGCTTCAATGAAGAACTTGAGACAAGAAACGCAGATACTATTAATTTTGAAAATGGCTCCGTCAAATTCTGGCATGAAAACTGTTCCCTTTTTCTTCTCAGCAAAGATGTATCGCAAGAGATGTAGTGTCATTGGGAAATCTTACCAACCACCGAGCCATGCTGTCATAAGCAACTTCTGCTTTGTCTAGTTGGAACTTAGCCACCTTAGGAACTTGATCTTTTTCCATGGTAGTATATACCTAATACTCATAGAATCTTATAATGTTTGGAAGATACATCAATTTTTTTTATATATTTACTTCCGCTTCAAATAATATGGTTTGTTCTTATACGATCAAAATGGTATAGATTGATTGAGCACCAGAACAAATGATTGGCCTACTCTCGAGAGGCATTTGTCTCTCCAAACTACTTTATAAAACTACTAAATTGTCATTAATCTCCTGCCTCCTAATGACCCTTATCCTTTTGTTTATAATAACCTAATGATAGTAAAAGCTTAATTCACACCTCCCACAAGTAAGGAATTATTCAAAATATCAATTTCTTTGATCTTTGTGATCTACACTTAAAATATGTTTTCCCAGCCATTATCGTTACTCCCTCCCCAAAAGACTCCTTGTCCTCAAGGTGGAACTTTCTGAAATTGGTGTTGGATGACAATAAGTTCTTCCCTTGTAGTTTTGTAACCAGGAAATTTCTTTCATTTGATTAGAACCTCTTGTTCTCTTGTTGAGATCTTCCTGGAAGTGTCCACTGTGGCCGGTTGCATCAATACTTCAATCTCATCCGTTAAAGTTGGTGGAAGCATGGGAGATGGAGTGTGGTTGCCACTAGCCTTTTGACACATGAAACACCTGGTGAAGCAATGAAGTGGGTGGTAACTTTTCTCGGTAAGCAACGTACGCTATTCCTTCAGTGATCTCAAATGGACTGAACTATCTAGGGGACAACTTTTTGTTGTGCTGATTGCCAAAGATTTTCTATCGGTATAGACACAATTTTAATTACACTTATTCCACCATTGAAAACTGCACATCTCGACTATGTCCCTTGGCTTGCCACTTCATTACTTGTTGACCTTTGGATTAATACCTTCTATGTTCATCCAACATCTGGTCTTTTTCTTCCAAATATTGTTCCATTTGAGACGCTGGCTTTGTAGTTTGACCACAATATACCAAGCGAGGAAGTCGTGCCCAAAAAGAATCTTAAAAGGGGTAGTCTTTTCGGTTGGAAGTGTTGTACCAATATTCAGTCCAACCCTACCACTGTGCCCATTGCTTGGATGTCTCCAACACAAAGCATCTCAGGTAAGTCTCAATATTCAGATTATTGCCTCGATTGCCCATCTATTACGGGTGATACTCATAGCGCTTCTCTTCAAGATTGTTCCTGCATTCAGGATAGTTCTAGCCAAAAAGTGGCTTAAGAACACTTTATCATGATCCCACACTATTGCTTCCGGTCTATGGAGTTAATCACATCGTTATAGTGGTGCAATCATGGTTAGCGGCTTTGGTAGAAATAGCAGTCATCAAATAGCGGGGTTGTAATTGCGGAAACACATATTGTGGTGCTATTCAGTGGTAAATTACCGCTAGTTGGTCAAAAATAGCGGTTTGAGATTACGGCTAGAGTGAATTACGCCGGTGTTCCCTGTGGTTTGTTCCAAATTTGGATATGGTCCCTCAAATGGATTATCTACACTGGTGGTCCCTAACTTATTCTTTTCGTAACACTGCTGGTCCCTCAAGTTAACACCATTAAAGTAGTTGCCATTAAGTCTGTTCATCTGCCCTTCATGTGAGGGGCATATCGATCTTTTTCCCATCATTTTCATTCCCACCTTCTGAACCCATATTCAAATAGATTTAGACACAAATCTATGAACATCAAACCTAAATCTGGAAAATGATTGATGCAAAACCTAGAATCAAACCCATTAATTGATTGAAACCCAGATTCCAACCCAGTAAATGATTGAAAAAAACAGAAGATATACATATGAAATCGGAAAAATTGATACATGCATACATCTGAAATCAGAAAACTCGATAAAATCAAATGTTACACAAATCCATCACAACCCTAAATCAGAAAACAAAACCCTAATTTGATGTGTATGCAGACTACAACAGATTTGTCACTTCTTTGACTAAAGAAGTTGAAAACCTGCGCTTGAATCTTGATGACCTCCTCCAGTTGAATCTTGAATCAGAACCTCGTGTCTTGATCTGAGTCACTGAAGTGAATCTGGAGTTTTTCGCCCAAATCAAAGTCCGAGATCTCTCAGCGAGGGTGCTGATGCTGAACAATACCAGAACTAGATCTGCCATCGAAAGCCAAACTCGAAAACCAGTCGTCGATTTCAAAAACCAGACTTGAAAACCGACGGTAGGGGCAGAGTTCATCGAGGTCGTGTCTGCAAACCATGAGACGTGGCAGAGTTCGTTGGAAAAACACCATCTTACCCTCCGTTTCATCTTTGTACCACACCAGGACCACCGACCACCATTGAACACGAGGGAAGGGGTGAGTTTTCATCATCAATTTGCAGGCGCCGAATTGAGCCCATCCATTCATTTGCGGTGCCGATTTGTACACGGTGTCAGGAGGGAGAGAGAACAGAAAAACGAGAAGGAAATGGATGGGTTTTCTGGTCTGCTTTGGTGTTCATAGAGAGAGAGGGGGAGGAGGATATAATATGGTAGGGTAAGTGTTCTTGATGGGATAAATCTGGGAATTGATTGAGGTTGAATAATTTGGAATCTGGGTTCAGGGTGGGAAGGGTTAGCATAGCAGGGACGTGGTTGGGCGGTGGGGGTGGGTTAGGATTTAGTTATTATTTTTTGTTAACCAAAGGAAAGAGGTAAAAAGAAAGCCCCTCAGGGGCGCAAGATGGGGTTAACAATGGCCAAACTAATGGTGCTAAGTTGAGGGGCCGTGGGTGTTATGAAATTGAAAAGTGTAGGGACCTTCAGTGTAGATAGTTTGTTTTGGGGACCATTTCCGAATTTGGAGCAAACCACAGGGAGCAACAGTGAAATACACTCTTACGGCTACTTTTGGGCTATTTTGATGTTTGGGCTATTTTTGGCTTCTTATTTGGCTTTTTTAGTTTGTTTTAATGGAGGTCAAGGATCAGGTCAACAGTTGGTTTCTTCTGGCTTCCAATTCCACGCCTACACTTACTACCTTCAACCCATTTAATGGCTTCAAGTTCCAACTTGGCTTCATTATGAGCCTACGGCTTTGGTCAATTGATACGGCGGTTCCAGTGTTTATTCTATGACAGTGTCCACTAGAAAGGGGATTTTGTTGTTTAGTTTACCTTTCTTTGATTATGTTGTTGTTTTGAATTAAGTAACAAGCATTTTTTATTAGGACAGTAAGTATTTATTTTATAAACCTGATTTTTTACCGCTATACCGCCGCTTTACCGATGCAATATCCGCGATTCAAAATCATGCTCTTGATTGTGATTTCCAAAATCGACCGTGTTAACCGCTCAGTTTCCGGTATCCCAATTCCCATGTAGTACAACCTATCAAATGAAAACTGTTTTAACTGTCAATGCCTGGTACGGATGCCATAAAGGATTGAAATGGGTATATTTGCTCAAACGATCTATGACAACAAAGATAACTGTGCAACCCTCTGATCGTGGTAATTCACAACAAAGTCCGTTCATAAATTCCCCACTATTACCTCCTCCAAAATCACTCCCAGTTTCCTCGATAGCATCTCGACCTGCTGTTGTATTATGGTATTGTGCCTACTTGAGTGACGGCAAATAGTTGTTCATTGGGATCCCTCTTCCAAGAAAACCGAAAACACTCCAACATTGCCCCTTGAATTTCGGCTTATGAACGTAATGACAATCGTTTCTTCCTCTGTACAAACAAGCCGCTAACACTTTTTCTCTCTCGTTAACCCCGTTCACTTTGAAGTAGCATTTTACTCGATACACCTATCCTTCTACATCGTCTCCTTCAGAGTTCAACATCTTCAATTTCTGGACCCACAAATCTCCCCTGTAATTGTTGCGTCCCCCTTGGGGTCTCGACCAGTATGGTTGCCCTCTGTATTCTGGATAAGCCAAGTACCTGACTTAATCCCCGCTGTTATTATTCGGTCGAATTCCATTGGTTTCTTGACCCACCCAAATTCTGACTTTGTCTTCCTCCATTCCCACCTTGCAAACCAATATTTAAACCATTTTTACCCGTACCCAAGCGRTTTAGAAAAGAGGCTGGCCCAACTTAAATGAGATATGATAGCTTAGTGGTATTTGCTAGCAACAACATAAAATGACTACTGAAATTGCATTGTACATCCAGAATAGTCCTAAGAAGACAACAATCGAAAAGCATGCCCAACMCAATTAGACCCTTGAGTCACCTGTTTGGCCCTCTGAAGTTCTCTTCAGTAGTCCTAGGATTAATGCCTACATAAAGTTCACCTTGGTCTTCTCTCACCAACACCATCGTCGGTTCACTATGCCTGGACCAGGTTGTCCCATTCTAGCTGACCTCACTGGAAATCAGCACTCCCCAGGGTTGTGTATGCATTGTTGCAATTGCTGCTTGCTTATGAGTTATTGTTCCATTGCTGCTTGTGCAACAATGCTCTTAAAAGCAGATTAAGCTGCCACTAAAGCGGCTGCATAAGTGTATCTGATGCCTAATCTGCTTCAATTCGCATTCTAAGTGGGGTATCGGGAATCATGCATGATTAAGGGGCCACTGAGTTGTGCTTAAAGGATTAAGCAGGCTCAGTGGCTAGATCGAAATCGTTAGCAGTTTAATGCTAAGGCCTAAATCCTAATCAATATTCAGCAGTTACTGACCCAAGCTCTTGGAGCCAAACCCCAATTCACTGACTGCTGGGATGACTCTGTGTGCTTAACAACAACCAAAACATAGAAATTAGTCAATGACAAATGTTAATTTGTTTTGCTATCATTATTTTAACTTCCATATGTCCACGTAATTTAATGATTCTGTTATAAACACACAAAAAAAGTAACTAGATTTATTGCAAATGTAGAAGAATATATTAAAATTTCACCACCTAGATGGTCCATTGGCTGCTTAGCTCCCCTAACGTGTTTTAGGCACTGCATCCTGCACCTGCATAGACACTGCTGCTGGTCACCTGCACCATAACTGCTGCTGCTCACTTGCAGCTGCAAAGCCATCATGGTGACTTACATATGAGTGGGTCTTGAAGGTTATGTTCTTTGGAGGTGGTTGCGAACTCTGGTATCTTCATTATCCTATATTGGTACATTATCCACATATCTTAAGTGGTATTCAACATTTCAGCAGTAACATGCTTTTCCTAGTACAAAACAAGCAGATGACTGCATGGTAACTGGAGAAACAACTTCATGTGTAAGGGCATGGTTATAATTTTTTTTTGAACTGACCATATTATGGGAACCAATAGAACAATTGGTATGGTAAAAACTTTGGCTTTGCCTTTGCCTTTTCTATTTAAGTCTGTATGAAATATGTACAATAAAGAATGTACATATATGTTTCAGCTATTACCCAATGATATTGAACAATTTAATTTCATATAAACAAAAGAAAATGAATATATTGATATTTTGTATGCGTATGTATATATAGAGCTTATAAGAAGTTTTATATTAAATGCTCGTAACAACTTAAAAAGTAAAAACAAGGAAAGATATAGAAAAAAGTCAAATAACATATTCAAAAAATGTGCGCCATGGCATCTGCCATGGGGGTTACGTGGCATCGTAGATGTGCCTCATGCTATGGCTTTTTAGGACCATGCTTTTTAGCAATTCTGTTAGTGACATCTACTGTGCTTGTTGAGAGGTTTCAAGCTGGACTTCTAATATGGCATATTGTGTTGAACCCGCCATTTTATGGGAATCGATGGAACAATTGAGGATAGGAAGAACTTTGCCTTTTCTTTTTCTTTCATTAATGCTTCTTGCTATCTGTCGCAACTGTAGAGGAGTTGCTTTTTGTGCAAGGGCTCTTTGTCATTGACCTCCCCAGGTGAAAGGAACTCATCTTTCTCTTTTGCAATTGACACATGTATAATCCAAGTCAGAGGGCTTTTTGTGATCCTAGTTTCAACTCATTATTTCCCACCTGGATTTGTTGCCAGATATCTTTAAGAAACTAAAGTATTTTGCCACTTTGCATTTCTCTTTAAACTTGTCTTGCTACAGGGGTTTCGTATCAAGATTAGTTTGTGACCACATTAATCTTCAAGAGAAGGTACTATGACTTCACATAAGGCCTCATCCATGGTATTTTACCCCTAATTGTTAGCAGGATCTATCTTTGAAATATTTTGGTACCCAATGTGGTGCTGCTCTCTCAACATATGCTTGTTTGATGTGTAATTGGGCCTTTTTGATGATAAACTAGTTGGGTGTTGATAGTTATTGTCGTGTTTTCTCAAGTTGCTTTCCAATGGAATGATAGGTGCAAAGACAGCTTCAGTTACGTATAGAAGCCCAAGGGAAGTACCTGAAGAAGATAATTGAAGAACAACAGAAGCTGAGTGGAGTTCTATCGGAAGTGCCTGATAATTTCCCAGAATCCAAAAACGCAACCGATGCTCCTCCTATCATGATGGATCAGTCGGCCAAGGAAGTCAACAACGATGAAACGTTATCATCCTCTTCTAGACGTGAACCATTAACACCAGACTCCAGTTGTCATTTGGTTGAGAACCCAAAAGGAGAGAGGTCGGTGAAGAAGCAACGCATGGATGCAACTTACTCTAAACAAGCGTTGGGGTTAACTCACCAAATACTGGAATCGAGCATAAGGCCGCCATTCCAGCAGCAGCAGCAGTTTGGTCATTCATCTGGGATGTCGGTTGACAATGAAGATTAATATGTAAAAGTCTCAGATCAATCAATCATCAAATGTATTGCTTTGTTATGTACCTGTGCAGGTTATAGAAATATATATATAAATATGGTATATTTGATTAGTTTCAAAGGGTGTGGTAAGAATGAAGGATTGGTAATTAGGATTCTGAAGATGAGACAAATTAGATGATAATATTAATTAATGTATTTGTCACTGGTGTTGGTGTATCCTCATATTCACTGCTCATCCATGACTCGATGTTTGTTTTAACATACCATTTGAGACTCAAAATGGTGCTTGTTTTAACATACCATTTGAGACTCAGAATGGTGTTTGTTTTAACATACCATTTGAGACTCAAAATGGTGTTTGTTTCAAAATTGGCCAAATTTATTTTGTGTATTTTGTAACTTTAAACGTTCATTTGGTACTTCAAATATAACATTCCAAACATTTATCAAAATATGTTGTATTCTTAGATGTAAATCAGATATCTAAATATTTGATATTTCATATACAAGTTATCAAAATGAAGGTTTTAAAAGTATTTGCGAGTTCTTTACATCTTCGACACTTCCTCTTCTGTCGTGCATTCTTTATAGCTCGCTTGCTGCCACCAATCTAACACCTTCTGGAGCACGTATCTCAATGGTCTTAGGCTTTGACACACCCAACAAATTTTCAAAATTAGCGTATCTTCATTAACAACACCATTCTCAACAGGTGCAACTTCTGACTTTATCGAACGAACCTTTCCAAAAGATAGAGCAAGATTCTCCTCATCACTAAACTCTACTCGGTATCTGTTCAAACTCAAACTGTATATCATTTGTCAATCAACATACGAAGTTAGTCCTGGTATAAACCATGGCTGCATGTCTCTCAATCAACCTTTTGAGTCTTGAAATCAGGAATAGTGGTGTTGGTCAAATGTTCATCAGTTCTTTGCCTATTCCTTTCTTTGTCCATTGCAATGTCATGAGGGAGTATGCATTTCAACAGATGATTACCATGGTGGGAAAAACTTTTGAAGAATTAATTCGAACTCTCAGAACGAGATATTGTCTTCATTAAACCACACAATGGTAATCCTTGAAGTATCCAGGAATCTATTTAGACCGAATCTTAAAAACCTCTGAGAGCCACAGGTGATCTTTCATATTAAATTCATTCATCAATGCAATCATTTTACTTCAAAATCTTATGTGCCACATACACAACCTATGTTTCGCATGCTCAAAAACAACCGGAAGCGCCACTCCAATTGCAGCATCTTGATCAGTCAGGACGAGCTGTAAGGACATTTGGCCTATTCAGACTTACCTACATTCTTATGGGCTGAAGTAGTTTCCACAACATGTTTTAGAATTACAAAACAAGATCATAATCAACAAAAGGCTTAATAAAACTGCATATGAGATTATTAATATGAGAAAACATAATATTAAATTTTTTCATGTCTTTGGTTGCAGATGCTTTGGACTTAATAACATAGATAATCTTGGGAAATTTGATAAGAACGCAAATGAAGGTGTTTTTATTGGATACTCTTCATTATCAAAATCCTACAGAGTTTATATCAAAAAGACAAATTATTATTCTCGAGACCATCAATGTAACTTTTGATGGAAAAGAAACAAAGACTTCTGTGCAGAACAGTACAGGACTTACGCAAAACAAGATTAAGATTTCTTAATCTACTAATCCTAATTCTAGTAATTAAAAACTCAATTTACTATTTAAGAATTTATTTGATAAATTTCTGGATATTGATATAGATTTTCAAAATCCAAGTTTTTCCAAAGATTTAAATGTTCCCACTTTAGATGAACCGGAAATAAGTGGCGCGAGGAGGCGCACTTTGCACTTCGCACGCTGCATCGGAGCAGGAGCCTCTCCCCGAGCTCCGAGTATTTTTTTGATACAAAGTCGTGAGGAGAAGGATAATTATCAATTTTTATTTGAAAAAAACTCGATTTTAAACTTGACTTAGTCTAAACCCACGATTTTAGATGATGATCAATGAGAAAAATCCTCCCATGATCAACGTTTTTATGAGATTTTCGTGGAGACTTTCGAGGCTTCAACCAGTATTTAAACTGGGTTGAAGCCAACTCAAAAAACACACTGAAAATTCTGATTTTCACTTTCCTTCGATTTCTGCTCTTTCTCTCTACCGTTTTCTACATACTCCGTGCTCTACATTCGTTTTTGATCGCTGTTCATAAACGAATCGTATACTGCATCGAATCCTGGGGCTTTGCGACTGGCAGACTCACAACGTGAATAGAGTGGTTGTATAAAACCTTAAAGGACAGGTTTTACCGTGCATATTACCATCCAAATCGACAACAAATTAATCAGGTTGGTTTTATATTTCTCGCATTGTATTTAATTTCTTATTCACTAAGTGAACAACTCTACTTCTACCCCTTTCTTTCATTGAATTTATCCCGAAGGATAGATTCAATCTGTGTGAATTGACACTTTGTTGAGGTGTTGGTGGGTCTGAATACTAAAAGGTTTAACCTTTTGTTCGTTATATAATTAAAGTTTTATAAAGATTAAATCTTTATTTTGTTTTCATCTATCTTATTGGAATATTTTTCAACATGGACCTGCTGAAGTAAATGTTGATCAGAACTTTGGACAATCAACTCAAAACTCTGAATCAACTATTCAGATTTCTAGTTCAATAATTCCAGAGTTATCTATTTTAGAGACACCTTTTGTTGAGGGGGAGCAATATGAGGAAGAATCAGAAATTCATGCTATCATAGATTAATATGATGTTAAGAACAATCAAAATGTACTCAACCTCTACCAAATTCAAACAGATGGACAAGAGATCATTCTCTACATCAAGTTGTTAATGATACCAATAGTGGAGTGAAAACCACATCTGCAACAGGTAATGAATGTTTCTATGTTAAATTTCTCAGTTCTATAGAACCAAAGAAGCCATCCGAGGCATTACAAGATCCAGATTTGGGTTCTTGCTGTGCAAGATGAACTTTTACATAATAAAGTTTGGAGGCTGGTGTTGGTGAATGTCAAAAACTAATCATATGATGATTGTAACTTTGAGTTTTGTTTCATGAAATTAATAAATATAAAGACATTGCCCATTTTATTATGTCTATATTATATTCTGTGTTTTAATTACTCATAATAAATAACCTTAGAATAATGTATTCTAAATGTCCCTAGTTAAATATTATTTCGGGTTTAAGGTTGAAGTAATATGATAATGACTAGTATATGTAGAGATTCATATAGAGGTATCGAATCTGCATATGGGTACAAAATGGAGACTTTGTGTATCGGACATGACTCGTTATGAGAGCACTTCATTGGATGTCATGTGAGTGTCATAAGTGTTTCTCATATGGTCAATGTACATGTAATTCTTTGACTTGAGAACATGGAGTTTGTTATGTGTGAGTAATGTATTTTGACATTTATTCTAATCATTCCGTAACTAGGTGACAAAATGATAGTTGGGTATGTTGCATATCACATGATAGAATTAGCATGTATCGAGATAGGATTTGTCCCTCCTTTAT